GCGACGCCTTTAAGGATCGTTCGAAACCTGTAGTTATAAACTAGTCATTTTCTAATGCATGATTATAACGACTCACAAACCCTAATTAATCCAACGCCACGCGAGAAATCAAAATCATTCGTCGTGATGGTATAACAAATTGAGAATTCACTGTATTTTATGTATTGGGAAAACATCCGGTTTTCATGGGAAGTTTAACATTTTCACTTGCGTGATTAATACTAAGGTTCAACATTTATACATGTTTTAAAAATCAACAAGCATATATTTACGGATCTCCACACTTGTTATAAACAATGATCTTTTTAGAAAATATCGGATTTTCTGGATTTTACAAACTACACAAAATCATTTTATCACAACATTGCTTATGAACTCACCAACATTTCATATGTTGACGTTTTTCAAAATTAACTTGTATTCTCAGGTAATAGGTAAACCGAAGAATAAGTACCAAGTAATGTCAGGGTGTTTTGCTTATGATATCTATAAGACAATTATGTTATGAATTTGTAATGTTTAAAAACAAAGTACTGGATGTAAACAATATCAGTTGTATTATTTTAATGCATGGTGATGATTTATGTATATTTATTGTGATGGTATTCAATTTAAGTCACAAGAGCTCTCGGACATTTCCGCCGTCTGGTTAGGGGTGTGACACATGTTTGTGGCATTGTCGTGTTGGACATGTCAACAAGTAGCGCATAGCCCAACTCCAAAAGGATGGAGTGTTGGAGTCATTCGACCTTAGGGAAGATGATACGTGTGAATCTTGTTTACTTGGAAAGATGACCAAGTCACCCTTCACTAGCACTTGTGAGAGGGGTGAGGGTTTATTGGATCTCATACATACCAATGTATGAAGGCCCTTTAGATCCACCACAAAGGATGGGAACCGCTTCTACGTGACTTTCATTGATGATTGTAGTAGATATGGGTATATTTACTTAATCAAGCACAAGTCAGAAACGTTTGAAAAGTTCAAAGAATTCAAACATGAAGTGGAGAATCAATTGTGCAGGAAAATCAAGATGATTCAATCCGATCGAGGAGGAGAGTACCTAAGTCTTGAATTCCACGACTATCTCATGGAATGCGGAATAGTTTCGCAATTGATGCCACCTAGGACACCACAAGTTAATGGTGTGGTAGAAAGGCGTAATCGAACCCTGTTAGACATGGTCTGTTCTATGATGAGTCGTGCTTCACTACCTATCTCATTCTGGGGGTATGCCTCTGCCGCCCATATCCTTAACCGAGTGCCTACAAAGAAGGTTGTCAAAACACCTCACGAGATGTGGACAGGGAAAGCTCCCTCGTTGGCACATATCAAGGTTTGGGGGTGTGAGGTTTTCGTAAGATGAGAGACTCATAACAAGCTTGAACCTCGTAGTGAGCGATGTATTTTCATCGGCTACCCGCAGAGATCCTTTGGATATCTCTTCTACAGACTGAGTGACAATTTTGTCTTCGTTGCGAGGAGAGGGGTTTTCAAAGAGCGAGAACTCATAAGCCAAGGAGACAGTGGGAGGCAAATCGATCTTGAATAGATTCAAGAATCGAGCGATGAAGGAACCTCTAATGCTGGCGCTCAACCCGAGGAGGAAACTATGATTGAACCGATTGACCAATCCTTACCTCTTAGACATTCCAAAAGAGTTAGAGTTCAACCCTATTTGTATGGTTTTCATATTACTACCGAAGGGGACACGTATATTAGTGACAGTACACTAGTAAATCTAGATGAACCTAACAGCTATAAGGAAGCCATGGCAGGCCCGGAGTCTGCAAAATGGAAAGAGGCGGTAGACAGTGAGATTCAGTCCATGTATGACAACCAAGTTTGGAATTTGGTTGACAATGTGCCCGGATGTAAGATGGTTGGGTGTAAATGGATCTTCAAGAAGAAGACCGACGTGGATGGGAATGTGCACACGTATAAGGCACGATTGGTGGCGAAGGGCTTTACTCAAAATCCCGGAGTTGACTATGATGAGACCTTCTCACCAGTTGCCAAGATAAAATCTATTACGGTGATGCTAGCCATTGCTGCATTTCATGATTATGAGATATGGAAGATGGATGTCAAGACTGGTTTCCTTAATGGAAAGTTGGCTGAGGATGTTTATATGGCTCAGCCAGAGGGTTTTGTCGATACGAAGCATCCCAATAGAGTGTGCAAGCATGAGAAGTCCATTTATGGACTTAAGCAAGCATCTCGACGATGGAATCTTTGCTTCGATGCGAAAGTCAAAGAGTTTGGATTTGTAGGAAGTGAAGATGAATCATGTGTATATGTCAAGGCCAGTGGGAGTATAGTTAGCTTCCTCGTTTTGTATGTTGATGACATACTACTCATAGGAAACGATATCCTGACTTTGCAGGAGGTCAAGTCCTGGCTCGGGAAGTGCTTCTCTATGAAGGACCTCGGAGAGGCTTCCTATATTTTGGGAATAAGGATAGTGAGAGAACGAAGTAAGATACTAATAGGACTTTGTCAGAATACTTACTTAGATAAGGTACTAAAACGTTTTAGTATGGAAAACTCGAAGAAGGGAGAACTACCGATACAGAGTAATGCCAAGTTGAGTAAGACTCAAAGTCCGAGTACCAAAGACAAGATAGCAGAGATGAATCGAGTACCTTACGCTTCTGCAGTTGGCTCGATCATGTATTCTATCACTTGTACTCGCCCTAATGTGGCCTTCGCTTTAAGCATGGTCAGTAGATATCAAGGGAACCCTGGTAGAGCTCATTGGATTGCAGTTAAGAATATCCTTAAGTACCTTCGGAGGACCAAGGAATGGTTTTTAGTCCTTGGAGGGAGTGATGACTTAAAGGTGCGAGGGTATAGTGACACCAGCTTCCAGACCGACAGAGACAACTATCATTCGTAGTCGGACTGGGTCTTTATCCTAAATGGAGGAGCAGTGACTTGGAAAAGTTCCAAGCAAGAAACTGTAGCTGATTCAACGTGCGAATCAGAGTACATTGCAGCGAGCGAAGCGTCAAAGGAGGAGATATGGTTGAAGAACTTCATTGGTGATCTTGGAGTTGTACCTGCCATAAAGGAGCCTATGGAAATTTTCTGTGATAATGAAGGAGCGGTTGCCTTGACCAAGGAACCGAGGGATCATGGTAGCTCTCGACATATCGACAGAAAGTATCACTTTATTAGACATCGAGTAGAAGAAGGACACCTCGTGGTTAAGAGGATATCATCAGAAGATAACCCAACAGATCCGCTTACGAAGGGACTCGGTAGTGTTAAGCACTTGCAACACGCTAGGAGCATTGGGCTGAGGGATGATATTAGTTTAGATTAGATATTTTAGAAACATGTAATAGATAAATGTAATTGACATTTGATGATTAAATAAAGGAGTATTATTTAATGGTTTTTTCTTATGTTAATTGTTTAACTATTGTTTCACTTTGCATGTTTTGACTTCCAGAATAATGGAGTTTATTAAGAATAATCGAATTATTCAAACTATCCACAATCGTTCATATATTGGAAGTAGGTATGAATGAAGATTGTCATGAATTGGGGTGTAGATTGTCTAAATGGTATTAGACATAGCAAAGGTTTGGTACAACGTTCATGAGTGCTTATGAACAAGTTTTGAGCATTGGAATAAACCCACACTTGATAGAATCACTCTATGGAATGTATCGCAAGTGATCGCAAGACGATAATATCATATGGTCTTAAAACCAAGATATATGGTTTATTGTTTACTAATTGGTTTTGCATTGATAACGCGAAACCGCATCAGTAAATTGATGTCATCGGGTGGATAGAAAATATCGATTTATGGGCCTCCTCCATCAAAATCCATCAGGCCCCACCCACATATGGCACCCATACCTACCCATAAAGAGTCAAAAGCCCTCTATTTTCCAAATCAAATGTCGAAATCTGAATGATCACCCAACCACTCTTCCGATTTTCCTCCTTTATGGCCTCCGTCTTGCCCCTTTGATGATCTCTAAAACTGGAGTCATCATGGTCATCCTCATGTATACATCCCATATTGGGGTACTCACTACCCTCTGGCTCAAGGCGTCGACCACCACATTGGCCTTGCCTAGGTGATACAAGATCACACAATCATAGCCCTTCACTACGTCTAACCACCTCCTCTGCCTCGTATTCAAATTAGGCTGATCCATAAGGTATCTCATACGCTTATTGTCTGTGTAAATGGTACACCGAACACCATAGAGATAGTGGCACTAAATCTTGAGGGCAAAAAGTTCCGCCCCTAACTCCATATCATGAGTAGGGTACCTCACCTCGTGAGGCTTCAGCCGCCTCGAAGCGTAGGCTATCACATGCCCTCTCTGCATCAACACGACACCCAATTGTAAGAATAAAAACAAAGATCGCTAGATTCTATAGTAAATAACGTGAATTAAATGACAAGAACATAGATCAAAATAGTGTCGAATGCTTTGATTATAATAGCTCTAGAAGAGTTCAATGAGAGAAATTCTCTATAATAGCTAGGTAGGGCGACCAAAAAGTTAACCCTAATAATACATGTATTCAATATATATAGGCTAGACGATAAGAAAAAACATGAGAAGGAACAGGCCCATCTCGAGATAAATAAACCTGTATAAAACATATTTGACACAATACTAATAACCCACCAATCTCCCCCTTTGTGTCAAATTAGGAAGGAGAGCATTCACTGTTGTCTCTTCCGCACTTTGAAAAATCGTGACATCAAATTTAGAAGGGTATTTTGACCATAAGGTACCACTTTATCATATCAGAGAAGCATTTATGATCGGCAACAATGTTAACTTTGTGGGCTTCAGCCAGTCCCATGATAGAGTTCAAAGCAAATGTTGAGTATAAGTGTTTGTCTTTTAAAAAAAACATGCTCTTCTGAACTTTTTCACCCTCCTTTCGTTGATGCACCACACACCAATCTTCCTTTCTGATTTTACCCAGCTTGAGCTTGTGTAGATCCTTCGGTTCCTCTTCAGCCTTCAGAACCAGATTTTTCTTCAGAACGGACGCTATTTCTATATCCATTTTTTGCAACTTCATGAATATAACAAATAAGCATCCTCTTCAGATGAGCAACGACTGGCTCATAAGTATTTTCATCTTTTAACACAATCAAGAACACTGAAATCCAATCGTAAGGAATCATGCATGGTAAGTCTGCAAGAGTAAATTCATCTTCGGTACGGCTAGCTCCTCGGAATCCTTTAAACTTAATGTTTATGAAGTTTTCAGTCGAAACATGTGCATACACATTCAAAGCAACAATATTCTTTAAACTCAATGTTTTGAATTGAGGCTTTCTATACTTAAGGTAGAAAGAGAAGAGCATATGATTAACATCATAGTCTGAAAGTGGAGCTCTCTCAATCTTCTTGAAACATCGGAATAGAAAATCCTTGGAGTAATTAGGAAATCTAGTTGAGAGTCAACAATATTGTTCAGCTCGAAAGATACCGAAGGCTCCAACCAGTGAATATTCAGATCATTAACAGCTTCACTCTGAATTCTTTCCATAGTCAAAGGCGGAAAAAGAAACTTTTGAGTTTCAAGGGGGTAACTTTGGCAATGTGGGTTTCCATTTCTTTAGCTTTTAACTCTTTATGAAGATGCAAAAGATTATCAAGTTCCCTATCACATGTCTTTATGACTAGCTTTTTGCCTTCTGAAAGCTCTTCATCATCATCATCATCATCAATCACTTTCTATTTTCCTTTACTTGATGCAGAAACTTCATTACCCTTCTGAGCATTAGTCTTCGATTTTTGTTCATGATTTTCATTAGTCTTTTGCTTTCCTTGAGGTTCTTATTTGTTTTCTTTGATGTCTCCCCTTGTTTCGAAAGAGCATCGCTATCCGAAACACCCTCAATTTTGTTTAGCATCGCAAAGACAGACATGAGTTAGTCTGTAAGGTGTTGTCGATCGAGACTGTAAGTAAGGAGTCACGAGTCTCCACAAGCCGATGAAATTATTGATTTCTTTTATAAACACAACTTTTGATAACTGTTTTCTCAGACTCCAAATCATCTAGGTGCTTGTTTGCATAATTCAGTTTGACCGAAAGAACCTTGGCTTTCTCAGTCTTTGCAGCCAATTTATCCATAAGATCATTCTCTGTAGCAAGGTCTTTCTGAAGTTTTTCAATCTTTGAAACAATGAATGCGTTGAACTCGGTATTATCAATCTTAATCTCAGAATGAACACATGAAAGAGCTTCCTTCTCAGCCTGTAGAGTTGTTCCAATACCTGCAATGACTTTATTGACATTTTCAGTATTTTGATCAGAAGAGCCTCTGAATTCATCCATGAATTTTGTTACTTCAGTATGTAGTTTTTCGGTTTTTTCGGTCATTTCTGCAACGGTTTTCTCTGATGCTTGAATTTCCTTGGTCAAATCTTCAAGGACTTTTACATTTGCCTTCATAAACATCTCACCACTTGCTTGGTGGGACTTCAGCATGTACTCAAAATTAGATGATGATTTGGATGACTCCAAAATAGAATCAAACTTTTCATTGAGTTGTTTAAATTTCCCTTTAGTTATTGGTGCTTCATCATCATCACTTGTTTGATTGATGGTGAAGAGGCTGGAAACAAAATCCTGAATGTTCTCTTGATCATCCCCAAACAAAATATCTAGATCATCATCACGGAATGGAGAAGTGGTAGAAGTGCCTTGATCCATAGTTAAACCCACGTTGACATCATCCCTCGTATCAGATACGTTGACATAAATTCTGAAAGTATGTACCTCCTCCAAAACAGATTTGGTAACAGTGACTTCAAATGTACTTGTGATTGTGGTTGTTGTGGTGGTGGTTGATTATGTAAAGATGGGAGTGTGAGAATGGAATAGAGATCTGAGGAAGTGAAGTTCCAACAGAAATCCTTGGTGGTAGTTGAGGAATAGAGATTAGAATTGTAGAAGTAATATGAAAGGATGGTGGAGTGTTCATCTGAAAGAAATCAGAAAAGTGAGTAGAAGAAGTAGGTGGAGTGGACACCTTCGGAATGGGTTCGGTTGGAGTTGGTTCCGAAGTTGCAGCAGTATCCTTAACTTCATGTTGGATTGTATCATCACCTCTGAGTTCAGAAATGGTCCTTGATTCCGAATCCTCTTGAGCAATGGGAAACAGAGATCTCGATTTACGAGCTTGCTTCCTGGTCTTCTTCTTTGGAGTTTTGACAACTTCAGAAGGACTAGCTTTTCCCTTTCGCTTTGCTCCCCTCTTCGGTTTGTTTGCCTCCTCAATATCCTTTCTCAAGTCATCTAACATAGGGAGAGCACCAAAAGGAGGTAATTTTCGACATTCATTCACTATAACATTGTCTTGAGGCACCTTTGCTGGCATCTCCTCCGAAATTGAACCAACAAAACTGAACTTGCTTGGGCCAGCCATCATGAACATTGACGTCTGAAGAATCGGAATTGCATCAATAATGGAATCATTCATCATAAGAACCTTGAAGTGAACTAGGGCTCGTTTGACAACAATCGACCAAAAACGAGCGCAGGAGATCTCGATGTTGTGAGTAGTAGAGGTTGTGCTCTGAATGAGCTGTGTCCATAGGATAGAACCATAATCCAAATTGATTCCATGGTAGAGGCCATAGATAATAGTATAGAATAGCTTACTTGCGTTTTCAGAGCCTGTAACTCGTTCAGAAAATCTCTTGAATAGTAGAGTGAATAGTCTGTTCCACATTGGAGGAAGATTGGGCTTCCTAAACTTAGACAACAATGAGATATCCCCAATGTAACCCATCTGCTAAACATGTAGATGAGATTGGTGGTGGAAATCGAGTCGGAATCCACAAGGCCTTCATATGAATCAACCCCTAACATTCTGCAAAAATGAGCTTTGCTGATCGAGGTCTTGTGAGAGGCTAACTCAAATTTAATAACCCCATCAACATGAACGTAAGAAGCAGAAGAATACGCCTTGGAAAGATGGACCACATGAATAGATTCGATCATGGTCAAAGCTTGAGCCAGTGGCGAAAACCTTAAACATTCAATCATCGGCCTTAGGGTTTCATTGTATCGAAAGGAGTCAAGATCGAGAATGATATTTTGACTTGGCTTCACGTTCAGAATGATGAAAGAGGTGGATTGATCAGCAAAAGATGCAGTTTCAGATGATCCAGCCATTGTAAGATTCTAAGAAGATGATGAACAGTAGAGAAAGAAAGGTTTTTTTTTCCTTGAGAGGTTTTGAATAATTTGTGAGCGGTGAGAGAAAATCAATCATCGAAAAACCCTTTTATACGTCATGAGTGGTGAGAGAAAATCATTGTTTGACATTCCCATATCTCGTAAAAGTAGCCTTGAAAATCGAGACAGATGTATGTGTCAGGCATTGTTGTAACTGACACGAATGATGTCAGGCATTTGAAAAAGACGCGCCTGAATTGAATCCTTATCTCCAATGAACCACCATTTCAGTTTCGACTCATTCGGAATTAAATGCCAATCCACCATAACTTGTTCTCTGAATAATAGTAATCAATCGGAATTAGAATCATACTTGAAAATTTGATAAAGATTTTTGTGCAAGAGTGAGCCAAAGAAAAATAAATAAATCAAATTTAATTTCTAAGATTTTGTGATGTCAAATAAAAATGACATGAAATTTAGATGGATCCTGGGCAACGATCTCTTCCTTCTGAGTCAAGAGAGACTACGAAGTGCTTGTGTGGTATCTCGTTGAATTGCGATAAACTGTTTAATAAGAAATAGTGAAAGGCTTCTTTTAAGTAGGCTATAAGGGTGGCTTAAGCTTCAATCAAATTCTGAAACTCGACATAAGTCCGAAAATCTGAGAGATGTACTTGTTTGACCAGTGTAGCCATAAGAACAAGTATTCTTTGAATATAATTTAAGTGACTGAATATTATGGAAATCTCAAGAAAAATAAAAACTGGATCTTTTGGTAAGAAAAGTCTTAGGTCGAGAGCTTTTCATTAAGATCACCAGAAAAATAAAAAATGAGATCTTAAACTTACCAAGTTACAAACCATAAAGGTTGTATTCATCAATTCTTTGGTGAAAATATCTAGAACATATTAATTGTTCACCGTCAATTCAGAAATAGGTTTCAGATTTTGGGTTTCACTCAAATCGTGGTGATAACGAATTCAAGATCATAAATGCAGATGTTGTGTAACCATAAACCTCAGTGGTAATTGCTGAGAGTCTCAAGGGTTACGTTTGTGAACACGAAATTGATGGACAAATTTAAGATTGGTTCCGAAGAAGAAAGTGTACCTCTGGTATAATTGAATAAGCAGTCAACTCTTAACTAAATGTGAGAAGAGTAAGGTAGCTCGATGAATTATGTGATTTACCAGCCTGATTGGGATGAAACAATCAGAATGAAAGTTTCATTAAGGCTTAAAACATAGAGGTTGTGAGGCTTGAGACAACATGCATCAACATGCTTATAGCGACACTTAACTAGTACATAGATTAAAAATTATACATGCCCCATTGTTCTGAATTGAGATAATGAAGAATATGTATTATATCTCAAAAGTAAACTGTTTTTGGAATTTTTTTGGTTTTTCGAAAAAGATAAAACAGAAATTAAAAAATATTTTTTGTGATTTTTGGATTTTCTGAAAAAGAAAAGAAAAAGAAAAAATAAAATAAATATAAATATTAAAGATAAATAAGTTCACAAACATAAATGAACAGTAACTTTCGAAGCTCGAAATCAATCAAAAGTAACTTAATATACATAGTATATAACTTATTCTAAAACTCTTGATGAACAATAGATTCCGAATATCATAATCAATCGGAATTTGAAAAATGAATTCCGAACCATTCTGAAACTCGGAACATGAATTGTGATGTCCGATTATGAAGGGGATTTCGGAACTGAGTCTGCTTCAATCATTCCTAGCCCTTGTAAAATTATATTGAACGTCATTTCAGGTAGGGCGTTAGTGAAGATATCAGCTAGTTGATCAGAGTATCTAACAATGTGTACTTCAATGTTTCCATCCTCTACACGATCCTTTATAAAATGATATCTCAATGCAATATGTTTCATCTTTGAGTGCTGCACTGGATTATGGCAGATTCTGATTGTGCTTTCTGAATCATAGTATAGCGGAATCCTCTTCATGTTGATTCCATAATCCCAAAGCTGATTCTGAATCCATACAACTTGGAAAGTGCACGATGCAGCTGCGATGTATTTAGCTTCTGAAGTAGATAGAGATACACACATCTACTTCTTGGATTGCCAACTCACAAGTTTGCCATCCAGAAACCGACATCCCCCAAAAGTGCTTTTGCGATCGAGACCACATCCACCAATAT